TGTTTTTTTTTTCAGTCTGATTTCGCTAAATCGTGATTAATTCAAATAACTCTGCGGTATTTTTTCCCATCTCTTTTTCCATCCATCAGTTTTGCTGGACACGTAATCTTATGACACAGAATGAATAGTAGTGGGTGGTCCATACGTGCTTGGCGGCTGCTCTGTACAAAACAACCATTACCAAAATTAGAACTCATCACTGTCAGCGAAAAACACCCTTAAATCTTTTACAATGATAGACCTCAACGCTAAATTCTAATCATCAAACCCAAAAGGGAAGCAAGACTCCAAATAAGAAAGTTGGTTTATGTTTTCAACTATCCAAACTGTTTTAACCCTTCGGGGCTTTCTAGCTAGAAATTATTTGAACAAAAATTAGAAGAATACTGTACATAGCGATATTGTTGAGTAACTGAATGACTAATTTTCATTGGAAACAGTTTCGATGGCTTGCTCCGTGACTCAGCACGGGAACCATATCATTTGCAATTAAGGAAGCAATGAATGGTGTTTGCTTTCAGTGAGTTAAATCAAGCTCTTCTGGTGTTTAAGTTCGCTTTCAACTTTTTAAAATTAGAAAAGCAAGTTACACAAGTACAAATTAATGTTATCAATTACTTTGCCCTGTGATTAATTTTGCTTAAATTGAGTAGAATAAAGAGATCTTGATTTCCAATAAAGGTATGTTAAATGTTTTTCAAGAATCAAACAGGCATTTAAACACATATCTAACCTGAAATTAACTAAATCAACAACTCTGTCAACAAATTTGCTGATAACCTTCCACTAAATGATTTTATTGAAGTTCTTATTTACAAGGGCAGTGATTTCAAAGAAAAATAAATAACAGCTTCAGAGAGCGAGAACTTCGTAACGTGGAGTAAGAAATAAAAGTAACTCATATAAAATGTTTTTCAGCGAAAGATGGTTTAGTTTTTAAGCTTTGGAAAGAAACACGTTTTTAGGCAGTAGAACGAGTTCCAATCAAAATTACTCTATGAAGCGGAACCCTCGGCCTTAAATATCATACAGCAGTTAATTCTTTCTTGGCTTTTAATAACCCAACACTTTCAAAGACCTTTATATGCTCCGATGAGCTGTCATAGCGATTTATACACACATCGTAAATGCTGAAATTCATGGATATTTGATTTATCAGTAAGAGTTTTCTAGTCGATTTTAGTTTCGAATTCAGTTATCTCTGGTTATTAAAAGAGGGGATAAATGTTTGTTGGGAAATTCATTCGTCCCCTTTAATTTTGACCCTTTTTCAGTTCTCATTTCTGTTCTCATTTCATTGTGCTCAAAAGGATGCAGTTTAAAACTGAATAATAAATCAGAAAAGATTTAATAAAGACGAGTTGTCCTCTGGTCAGTCAAACTCTTCGATTGAATTTGGATATTTTTCATGCAATTCTGTTCGCTTCCAAGGGCTTTAGCTTTGGCATTTAACACAAAATATAACTGCGCTCACGTAACTTCCACAAAGGTAAAAGTGCATGAACTGTGGCTGTAATTTTCGAGAACAAACTGTGGAATCTTTAAGCTCCTGTTCGACAGCAAGCAAATTCTGACACTTCACTAGCTACATTCTAATAACCAGTTCATTCCGTTATCGGAATAAATTTCACTCCCAAAGCTTAATGAACAGTGTTGGATGATTTTATTGCTGACTCATGTTAACTTTGGTGTGACAAAATAAACTCTGAGAGATGATGAACTGTTTTAACTAGAGTTTTGCGGTTGTCTTATGATGACTCTAACAGCATTGCCAAATGCAGAAGTTTAGCGTCTGCGAGCTCTTCGGGGAGAGAATGGAATTTTTCAATAGAAAGCCTGCCGAATCAGTCATTGAAAGACTAACCTTCGACTCGTAATCTATTCACGGCTTCGTCTTTCCTATAAACACGTTTTTCTCCAAGGGGAAACCAATAAAGTCGCCCATTTCCGCTAGTCATTCTATTTGACGTGCAGACAGGAATTGGGATCACGGCAGCGGAGCCATTTAACCGTTCAATTGTCGTGTTGCGTCAGTGAAGACTTAAAGGGTTAGTCTGTGCTAGCACGATTATCGGCACATCAAAGAGAAAACTTCAATTCAAACAATTAATAATGAGTTGGATGTTTGTTTTTGATCTACCTCTGAAATGCTTCAAATGCATTCAAAATCACTGTTTAATAAAATTTGGCCACTTCTATAATCTTCAATTAAGTCGTCATTTTCTTATCGTTGGCTTTTTAATAAGGCTGCGACAGACCCCTATCGTCACACAAAAATTCGTTCATCTCGTTAAGCCTTCTGCTCGGCTGTAGAGGCGAAATATTTGAGTTAAGCCACTGGAAAAATAAAACCTTCAGATCTGATGCTTATCGGATCCTCGGCAATAACGGTTTTCCTGCCTATATAAGAAACAATATTTAAGAAGGCACATTCCATCCAATTGTTCAGGCCCACAAACTAAATTAAAAAGTTGATTAATTCCGTTTTGACCAATCAGAAACGAGATGAGCTAAACATTTCGACGATCAAAGGATTTATATTCGAGAATCTGTGCCATCGGCTTGATAAAAAGGAAGAGGTTGAGCTGGCTGAAATGGAGTATCAACACGCGGTAACCTTGATAACTGTGTTACTGGCAACAGTCTTTGCCCACAATCTGATGGAGGCCAATTCGAAGTTATTGTGAGTGAGAATCAATTTTCTTATTCTTGTGCTTTGTTGAGACACAATAATTCAATCAGCCTTTTATCTTTTGACACTCTGACAGCGTTGTTTCATCCGTGGCAACCCTTTCCCTAAGTCACATCTGCAGCAAAATTCCTGGCTTGTATCCTAAGCAGATTGCCATCTGTGAAGAGTCTCCCAACGTTATTAATTGCATTCGGGAGGGATATCGACTTGGCGCTGAAGAATGCAAATTTCAGTTTCGCGAAGATAGGTGGAACTGTACACTGCTCGGTCAAAGATCGGTCTTTGACGACAAGGCAATACGTAAGTAGGATTATCGTGCTTAGAAGTTGTTGTAAGCGATCTCTCAAGGAGATTTCGTTCTGTACTCTGAATATTAGATAATTTGCCACGACTAATTTGGCAGTCCACTTAGCTTGAACTGCTGTAAAGTGATTATTTGTTTGTTTGGAGTAAATAGCTCCTGATTAACTCAAAGTCCACCTATGAATCCACTTATCTTAAAGACTCTTGACCTGTTTCAAGTGGCCGGAAAAGTAGCTCCATATTATCATTGTGAAAACTTGACAACTCACTGAAACGAATAATTTGGCTATAATTTAGCTTCGCTAATAAATTACCCTAACCTTCTTTTCAAGGTTGTCGAAAACCTTATTTGATCTTTCTTATGAGGGGAGATTAAATAGAGACTGAAGAACGCCCCGTGTCGATAGACAGTCGTCATCATGTTTCATATTTTCGTAATTCTAATCATGACAATTTTGTACATGGTTCTGTTCATCAGGAAACGGTATTGCACCTGTGAGATTAGTTGAAATTGGTACTTCTAACTAAGATCTAACTGTCAACACGTATGTTATTTTGCTTTGAGCTAGTGATAAAGTGACAGAATCGACCCTTATCTTGAACATCAGATTTTGGATCATACCTGGGTGGAAAAGAATCTCTTCCTGACCTTCTAACGATACGATTTTTGTAGAATTGTTGACACGAGCGAGAGAATGTTTCATCTACCTCAACTGAGACAGTTAAAGAACTCATATTTTTGTAGCCAAGAGCAAATTCTCTCTACACATATGCTAGGTTCTATAACACATATTTCAAACTAATCTACAACTTGAAAAAAAATCTAATTTTAGTACTTCCATTAAAAATTTACGAGTTTCTTATTATTTTAAACTTTTTCTAATAAAGTAAAGTTATTGTGTCTCGACAAGTAGATAAAAAGGTTATTTTTAACGTGTACTCAGAATATTAATGAGGTCGGAAGTTTTGATTACGCTTTAAAAATATGCTTACGGGTTATTGGCAATAAACGTCTCTAACTATTGAACAAGACTAGCGAAAAAATAGAAGGCTTTCGTTTTCCTAGTGGTCTTCGAAAAATGAGAGAAGGAACACAGCCAACACAAACTTAATGTAACATTTTTGCTATGAAGGAAAAATCCCTACTGTACACATATTTTTCTTTCGCCGGAACATCACGACAGATGAATTAAAATTGACAAGATGAACAACTTTTCCAACCTGTCATTTTAAGTTTTTACTACGGCTTGCAAATCACTAGCTGATTCTTGTTTCTCCGTTGCCCTCCTTTCAGCCGGGACGAAGGAAGCTGCTTATGCACAAGCCATCACATCTGCTGGAGTCGTCTACGCGATCACCAGGGCATGCAGTATGGGGAACCTGAGCGAATGCGACTGTGATAGGAGGAAGTGGGGACAGAAAAGTAGTAAAGGATGGATGTGGGGTGGGTGCAGCGTTGATATGAGTTACGGAATGGATATTGCTGATAAGTTCGTGAACGGGCGGCACAATAAAAAGGATGCCATATTTTTCATGAACAAGCACAACAACAAAGCGGGCAGACAGGTAGGAGGCCTATCAACCCCTCAGAATTTAATGACATAATTGCTTTTTCTAATTACTTAATGATAATGAGGGCTAAACAATAACGGCTTGGCTCGGATTGTCTTGGTCACACGAGCATGGCTTTGCCGGCTCGTGGAATTTGCATGTGAAAAGATTCTGGCTAGCTCCTTATATTTGAACAGTCATCGGCAAAAGTTTATTACATCGGAGTATCTGTGTCAAATCTTGTTAGAACTCTCTAAGGAGCGTATCACTCCCCCAGTTTAGGTATTTCAAGAATAATTGGGTTTTGGATCAGCTGAAAACGCAAAAATTGTTGTGTGATAAACAAGATAAAAAGTCTATTGAAAAAAAACGTTGAAACTTATTATTAAGTAACCGCAAAACCACATTGTAGGAAATTAAAACTCTTGGCTCAAAATGTTGATGTTGGTATGAAATAATGGATTCCCTTTTAATTAGACACATGCCGCAAAAGATTGCCAGTGAATGGCTAATTTCAACGAAGTTCCTTTTCCGTAAAGTGATCACAATTGGGAAATCACGACAAGATTGCTGTATCTCTTGATCAAGACATCTTAATACATATCTATTTTTACTGTGATGGATAAATAGCTACAGTAAATATCATAGTTGAATTAAGGTATTTTAAAGATGGATGTCCACTGCAATATCCGGCCTCGGATGAGCAGTGGCGTTGAGCAATAGTTCATAGTTTGTGTCGCGTCTTTGGGGGTTGTTGATAAGCAATAGATAGACGATAAAGCTGAACAATGGGAACAAAGGGCTCTGTTCTATTGAAATGACTCGTATTAAAACAAAACGGACGAACCAACCAAAAGAAAATTAGATTTTATGTTATTTTGACCGAAATTTACTTGCGAAAGAGCTAGTATGTAACAAATATTCAACAACCTTATACCATACCTCCACTTCGCTCATGATCAACCAACTTGCTTGAGCTTAAATCTAAACAGGGCGCCGGGAACTTCTGTACTTAAGTTAACCCTTCTTCGTCTACAAGCTACTTACTGACTTTGAGGTAAAGGTTGTCATTTCTGCTGAAGTCGAAACTCAGAGCTCGATTGCTTGACAAGAGTTTGGACGAATTAATTAAACCTTTCAACCAACTTTTGAAGTCTTCTTCGCTCTATCTGCTAGTTGCTGTGCGTTTTTCTTTACATCTCTAACATACAACTGTTTGCGGTCGTTTCAATTAAGTTAACGTGTTTGCAAACTTCTTTGAACAAAACTAACACAGCAGTGTTTAAAACGACTGTTTTTGTGTCAAACACGCGTTGGAATTCTTTGCTTCCTCTCGAAAGGAGTGTGTTCATACTGTGATGGGAATGTTGGGTAACCTTGATGCTGCCGGAGGGAATGTAAGCTTATGCAGCACAGGACCTTTCCAAAAATTACACACTTTGACCCATCAACGTTCAACTACCGTACTTTGTGAGTGGCTAAGAAATACTGAAGGCTTTTCCAACCGTTTGACGTCAGGGTTCAAGACGAATTAGACGAAATTTTCTCGACTGTAAACGATACTGGGTACTAGCAGCGCTCTCTCGAAGGGGGAGCAATTTTACCCTTTGTGAAATAAAAAAATCCCTGACATTATGGTTATGAAAAGAATTGTTTGGTTGAATTCGTGGTAATTAAAACCTACGAAGCTCTGTAAGCCCGCCTGCCGAGATTAATATTAACTGTGGATTCTTGAACAGCTGGGAACTACGAAACAAACACTGACAGATCATCTTTTATTTTCATAACAAGTTTTTTAATATAACGAAGAGATATTTTTGGAATAAACATATTTGCTTTCCCACCCTTAAAGTTAAGTTTAGTTTTTTTTGAAAGGTTACTTTGAAACATACACAAATGGATCAGGTTTCAAGTAAAATACTCCTTCAATATTACGAACACTTATCTTCATAGGAGAACTAATTCTTATAAAGCTTTTAAAAGATAGAATCTATAACTTAAAAGTTGAGTCCTTCTTATGAATGAGGAACTCATCTTCTGCTCATTTTGGAAAGCATACATTTAAGACAATGTTGCTTTCATAACCTTGTTGTTGATACAAACATAAATATTCATTCATTTTGAGTTGACAAGAAAAGAGAAGAAACTAAGTTAAACTACAATGTATAGATTCCAAAATTATATTTTTGTTGGTTTGAAGTATTACACTAACGGTCCTAGTTTGTAACTTAATGTAAGCGCAAATTTCGTTCTGCAAAACAGCGAAGAGACAAACAGCATCACATAGGAGTGCCTGATAACTTTCACGTGAATAGTCACATACAAGGAATTCGTTTACAATCTCAAACGCTTGAAGAAAATTTAATTACAAAATCAATATTATTGAAAGTACTTCGCGCTATCTTCTATCTTGTTCGACATTTTCGTCCATCTATGCCCCACGCTTGTAGAAACCTTTCTGCGTGTGGTGAGAAAATCTGAAATTTTACTTTAGGAGCTGCGAGAAAATTTTCACCATCACTCTGACAATTCTTGCACGTTCATTGGTCATTTTTGACGGCAATACAGGACAAACAGGAAAACCTTGTTTGAGCACTTAACAGTTTAGGCGAAGTGCACGATAATTCTATGAGACAATTCATCATTAGTGGTTTATGAGCTCAGAGAGGTTTGATTGTCCGTGGCAAGAGTGAGCAAAAGCTGGAAAAAAATTAACAAAAGCACACAGGCAAATGATTCCACGCCCCCATCCCCTAGAAACTGTTCAGAGCTTAAGCAATGACGACGGCGACCCCGAAGACAACGCCTAGTTAAAAATAAATTTATACTTGACCTTTGAATTTCGTAATTGTCTAGATCTGTTAAATGCGCCTATTGGTCTCAGAACTTGCTCAAGGTAAATTAATGACACCAATGGTCTATTCCAAATGAAAATACGAGAAATTTGCCGCTGTCGTTTGTTTTTTCCAAGATATGCAGTACTTTGGTCATTTCACGCTGTTGTTGTGCAAAGACTGCAAAGATTTCAGTATAACGCACAGCCATTGTTCTACTTATTAAACTTTTAGTTTGGTGGCGTTCTCGTTGCCGTTGCCGTCGAGGTTTGCTTAAGTTCTCTAATATAGTAAGCCAACGCACTTCCAGTGTAGATCCAGGTTGTTCTAAATTGAGCCTTTAAGGTCAATTTTGTTCAAAGGGTTATATGACAAAAAAAGACACTCATTGTTCCCTTTGCATAAATTTGATATCGAAGGAAGCCATAAAGTAACAACTAACTAAGATAAACAAGACCAATTAATGATAAAAGCAACCTTAACAGGCTAAATTTTTGAAGATGTGATATCCATGATTTAGTATCGTTACTTATCCAACATAAATGCTACTTTGTTGAAAATACTAAATTACTATATCTTAGCGGGTAAAGAATAAAATGTGAGACTTTTCTTATTTAGTTGCACTGGTCAAAAGTAAAATAAACTAAAATGATAAGTTCTTACCTTTTAGCAAAATAGCCTTTAATTGGGTTAAAAAATTCCATCTGTTACTAGCTAGAATAATATAATACAAAGTTTATAAAATAACTAGAGGAAAAAGAAAAAACATCAATTTGATAACAAACATTTGTCATAATGCCATATTTTTCCAGTTACCAGCTACTTTTCGTATCATTTCGTGGCAACTGGACGCTAACATGCCACAACTTTGTTACGCGTGCGCAGCTGCTTTGCTCGCTGGTAACTCTGCGACCTCTTCTTCTTCAAACCGCACAAACCCATTGCGAGTCAGTGACTGAGGGGGGAGGTGCGAGTCAGTTGACTGAGGGGGGAGGTGTGGTATAAGAACGTTTAAGGAGTTCTCAGAAAGTTCGCGATGCTGAAAACTTGGAACAGTTTTTTTTTATCCAGTAAAAATGAAGCAAAAAAACAAGAAAAAAACAAACAAACAAAAAAAAGATTAAACTTACAGAGGATCTATTTCAGTAAACATGGCGGAGTCGAGTAAGAGTGGGACTCGTTTTATCGTTCCCTGTCTCTCGGAGTTATAGCGCAACCTGAGTTTCCACCTTAAACTGGGACATTTTTCTCGCCTACTTTAGGTTGTTAGAGAGAATTTGGTTTTTGAATGCAAATGCCATGGAATTTCTGCATCCTGTACGACCCGCACATGCTGGAAGACACTGCCTTCAATCCGTCATATCGGAAATAAATTAAAGGAATACTATCTTACTGCTGTCCGAATGAAACCCTCAATGATCGACAGCCCCGGTGGCCAGAAGCCAGGACACCTTGTGCCCATATCTGACGATTTAGAGAAACCGAAATCCAATCGCTTAGTGTATCTGAATGTCTCGGACATGTATTGTGCCCGAGACTTGCGTTTGAGAATCCCTGGAACGCAAGATCGCATCTGCAAGAAAACCTCGGTAGGTCCAGGCAGCTGCACGTACTTGTGTTGTGAACGCGGACACGATACCCACAACTTCACGGAGGTGTCGCAATGCAAGTGTAAATTTCACTGGTGCTGTGAAGTGAAATGTCAGGACTGCGCCGAAACTGTGGTCAAGTACACCTGCAAGTGAACGCGAAAGTAAAAGAGACACTGAATGGTAGCTCTGGCGCGCTGTCAGATGTGAGCGACCTGAAGGACAGATGCATAGCCTAAAAAACATTAATACCTGGATCAAAACGCAACAGTGTAAAAGACAAAACGTCCAGCTAAAGTGTAACAATACCACATGTACAGCAGAACATCCACAGAGAAATAGCAACTTCATATTGTATTCAAATCAGACGTTAGAGATGTTAAAATTCGTAATATGCACGTTAAAGATACACAGAACAGTTGACATTACAGAGCGCTGAGCGCAAGAGATTTTATTAAATGTAGTGAAGTTGTAGACAAGATAAAAATAAGCAATTGACGAATGTACTTCCACTAGGAATCGAGCGAAATTTGTTGAAGGAGATGTGAAATATATGTATTATTTTCACACAAGAACAGTTTATTCATCCTAGACTGAAATAAAAGGGATGTTAATCTGTGAAATTCTTGAAATTATTTATCCAATCAGCTGATTGATTATAGTGTAGTTTACACTATAAATGAAATCTGCCATTTTCTTTGAAGTTTAAGAAGGCCATAAATTCTTATACCACACCTCTTGCACCCGGAAAGTTATAAATGTTCACAGGACATGGGGGACGAGCGACTGTGCCAATTTTGTTTCATTTGAAGTATTTTTGTAGTATGTTATTTACATTTATTTGTTAGGGACCTCAACGCAACACATATTTCGTAAGAGAGTTTTCAAAAGATGGGTTTTCGAAAGTTATTTGAATTTGCTTTCGACTTTGCCTTAATTAAGCCTAATTTTATTTATTTGGTTTACTCCTGCAACCAATCAGAAAAAAAGTGTTTTTTCTCCAAACAAGAGCAAGGCCGTGAAACCAACTTAATTATGTCCACGTATTTAACTTTTTCCTTGCACTAAGCACCATATGATTCTGTAATATGGAGGTCACTTTACTCGACTGTCACTACAAAACTGATCAGGAACCTGTCGTTAACAATGTGATGTTTTCTTCTTTTCATTTGATTTTGGTGACTAGTCCATGTGATGCTCAACCTGTTGTACTAAAACTGAACAACTGTTTTAATTTAAATTATAGTTGGGATCAAGTGTAGAAATTGCAAACTGAAGGGCCATATTCTAAGAACGAAGTCTCGACTGTAAGCAATTTGTCTTGGTGGTAAATTATGTTTCTTACATTTCTTCACGGCTCGCAAACAGCATTGTAACATGAATGGGAAAATGCAGTTCATATTTCCCGATTTCTGTGACAGTTTGAGTCAAGATATCTCGCGAGATTTGTGGTTATCATCAGTATAAAACGTTACAATGGTGCAAAATGTCCGCTCCCTTCTTGGAAAGTAGCGAGTTCACCGCTAGCATCGGAAAAGATCGACAGAAGGCAACAGCAATGTAATTAACTCTAGATTTAAAGTTTTAACAGCAAGTGCGAGGTGTGGTATAAGACAAAACAAACTCCTTTTCAAAACGAAATAATAATAATAATAATAATAATAATAATAATAATAATAATAATAAAAAAACTGAAAAAGGAAAATCTTTCCAGATCGTTCCGCTAAGACTTTCACTCCAGTACAAGGCATAATATTTTTACCATGTTTCGAAAATCCGTTTTCGGACACTAAAATAATGTATTTGGTTTCGTCGAATGAAGCTATCTGGCTCCAAGAGTGCTTTGGTTTCAGGGTATCTGAACTTTACCAATGTGGCAATTTATGTTTAGCTGAAGAATCGGGCCAGGGAAAATTGTATTTCTTTGTATCCCTCATGAACAAGGCAAGAAAATGGTGTTGTGGATTACCATCTGATTCTGAACCAAAATGATATCATAGAGGAGTGAAGGTCTTAACGGTCTCCTTTTCTCACTCAATCAATAACACGAGGTCTGAATAATCCCCTTCTTATTCAAGATATATTTTCCCCTTGCTCGCCTGATAATTTGGTCTACTGACTTTCTCCTCTATTTCATAGAGGAGTGAAGGTCTTAACGGTCTCATTTTATCACTCAGTCAATAACACGAGGTCTGATTAATCCCCTTCTTATTCAAAGATATATTTTTCCCTTGTTCGCCTGATAATTTGGTCTACTGACTTTCCCGGACAGTCAAGGGGCGTGTATGAGAGAAGAGCACGTGGTTCCTTGCCAAAATATAACTTGTTGCCAACCATTTAGTGTTTGCTTGGGGACCCTTCTTTTACTAGGCGCTCAAAGAGAGTCGGGAAATTCAGTGCCGCTGTCATGGCGCCTCGGCGTCGTGTGTTACCAGAACCTGCTGGCAGGCGCTTCCCTCCTTCAAAAAAGTGGGACTTCAGTTAAAACGACGTTACGACAAGCCTGTCCTCGCACGAACTGTCAAATACCCCACACGAGACGGTAAACGAGACGCTTATCTTCTCAAGTCGGGTGATGGAGAGAAACCCTCACCGAAAGATCTGGTTTACATCGACAAGTCGCCGAATTACTGCGACGAACATAGAATGAAAAGAATTCCGGGTACGGTGGAGCGTAAGTGCAACAGAACCGCCTCGAGTTCTGGCAGTTGTGAGTTTCTGTGCTGTGGACGAGGCTACGATACTCATGAGATCGTCAGAAGATGGGATTGTAACTGCAAGTTTCATTGGTGCTGTTATGTGAAATGCAAGAAATGCAAAGAGAGGACCGAAGAGTTCAGATGCAAATAAGACAGCGGTGGAATGGGCACTACCCAGCACTAAGGCTTGTGTGCAGTGCAGATTAGAATAATCATTGATTTTTCTCTCTTTTCAATTATTCTGTCGTTAGGGGTCAGCGTTTCGTTAAAAAAAAAAATGATCTTTCGTCGTCTCTGAACGACAACGTTTTCAAACTAACAGGAATATTATTGCGGGAGCTGGAAACTTGTTGACTGCTTTCTAATTTACTGAAAAGAGCAGTATAGTTTAAGTTGATAAACTGAAAGAATTGCTAAGTCGTTTTATTCTATTTTATTTATCGATAGAATTCATATTCAATTCGCCACTTTAACAACGAGAAGAGACTTTTGCGAGCATCATCTTGTAGTCATGAAATATTTTGTTATGTTGTGTAATGTCAAGCCCTGGCCAAACGATCGCAACATTTCAACGCAACATTTCGCTACATTGTTGGGCGCAACATGTTGCGCGCGTTTGGCCACCCTGTTGCGACGTGTTGCTAAGTGTTGGATGTTGTTGGCTCAAATCTTTTTATTAAAGTGACGAATGGGGTATGAACTACAATATTGTGGACGGCAGCAATGTCGCTTTTTTTTTGGCAGTCGAAGAACAACGGATCTGTAATAGCAGACGGAACAATCGATTAATGAACAATATTATTTTATTTAAAACCTTTATGGTGATATACTAAAATTAATGATACCTTTATGATCTAGTTAAATAATCAAGGAATTCCAAACAACGCATGGCAAACTAGAAGAAAAAGCGCAACTGAAGCTGTAGTTCATGTGTCCAGCGACATTAAATGACTTCTTCACCGAATTGCATATGGTAAGCACATTTTCCACTTGGATATTCCAGATGGAAATTTTGGACCTCTTTTCAAGACGCTCTGTTTATTTCGAAAATTTTCCGGTCGGTAGAGCCAAAATTGTCTAACCATTCGCATTCTGACCGAAATTTCCCGAATTTTTAATAGTAAATGGTAAACAGCCATTTTGTCGAAGTGAAGGGGTGTCAAGACAAATGCCTCCGCTTGGGATAGCGGCAGAAAATGCTTTAATTTTTTTTATTTGATATGACAAGATACACTTTATGCTGTAGTAGATAGTAAGGGATTAGCTATCGCATTGTGGCATTGCAAAGTTATCGCATTACTTAGCTAGTAATTTAATTTTGCCATTAGGAATACCGCACAAAGGCCAGTTATTTCTAAAAGAGCGTTTTTGAATGAGATTTTGAGAAGAATATGACTTATTTAATTCTGTAGTTTTGAAGAAATACCGGAGTTTATTTTTTTACATTATTTATCTTTATGAACACGTCAATATACAAGGTTTATCAGATATCTTAGGGAAATATCCCACTGAGTCATATTTATAATTATATCATTAAGTTATTATGTTTAGTTGATCATTGAAAAATCAGAAGAGTACGTTTTTTTTCAGAGTTCCAGACAACTTTTCTAAAAACAGGGTATAATTTCACAGAAATCCGATGAAAGAAAGTAAATGATGAACCTCGGTGTTGAAAGACTGACTAGAGGACAATTTTTTGATAGCTGAATTTTTTTTATGTTTTAATATTGCAATTATGTGGTTTAATGAAAAACATTTTGATCAATATCCTGATTATACAATGTAGAAATGCAATTTTGTTGTAAAATAGGGGAAATGAGACAAAAACAATTCTAAGAGATACAAATACGACACTACAACTGTGTTCAATGTTGTAAGTTCTTTGTAACTACAGACCATAAAGAAGCTTGCACTGTACCAGATGATCTCACAATCTTGACAATCATGCTAATGCGTCTAGCAGATTTCACACAAAGAAAATCGATTTGAGATTTGAGAAAAATAAAGTTAAGGTCCCGAACTCCTATTTCATGTGCCCTAAATCATGTAAGTCAATCTTCTTCCTTCCCCTCAAAAAGCCTTGACAAAATTAAAAAGCAAGCTCCCACGATGGCCTTCAGACAGGTTTCATGGTACGTAGTTAAGGGTGCGTTGCTTTAATTGGGAAAATCCAAGATTGGATTCTTCAATCCAAAAACTGATGTTACGTTTTTTAACTAAGCAGATTAATCCAAGATCGACTCGAATCTTGGTGCATCAATAAAGCCGGAGAATTCCCTCAGTGTCCACTCTGGGCAAGGTTTCTTCGGTTCCTTTGATGCACCATGATCCGAGTGATCCTGGATTAATCTGTTTATTGAAGAAATGCAAAGTCCGTGTTCTCGGATTTAAGAATGCAATCTTGGATTTTCCCATAGAAGCGCACCCTAGTCGAGTTTGAAAACGTGTGCATCTCATCGGTGAGCGATATTCTGCAAATGTTCTATGTATTAAAATTAGTTCTGATTTTAACAAACCTTTGGTAACATTTCTTGCCTCGACAAAAAATTGTAAGCAAATCGCTCGTCAGTTTCCATTTAAGGTAAGACTTCGTGTTTAACCGGAACTTTGTAAGCCAATCAGAGAGCCAGAAAAACAGTAACTTGAAGGTGACTGAGCATTTATCTTTGTTATATCTCTCAGTTACTACGCGCGCTGTGATTGGTCAATTTAACGGGCCGTATTCTACTGTACGGCCAGCTAAAATCTAAAGCTGTTTTGTTGCCAAAATGTTTCGTGATTTACCACCAATTGTTCCTAACTTTTATAGCAAATGAAAGTTTAAAACTTTCTTTTACTTTAAATTGTGTATTAAAACGTGCTAACGACTTAACAACGATTTCAAATTGGCTTGTTTTGCTTTCGAGGTGCGTGAGAAATTTGAAGCCGTTCCGCGTGAATAGAAATCGTTCCCGAACCCGTCAGGCACACAGTAGAGATATAATAACTATCTTACTAAGCTCGTCTTCTCGGTCCGTGCTGTAAGTTACGGATCCTCGTTTTTCCCTTTCGATCTATGAAATCGAAGAGGAAAAAACTCGGTCCGTAACTTACAGTAGGGACCTCGAACTCGGTTAGTAAGAGGTGTACATGTAAATTGGCCTTAAAACCAATTATTTATATGAGAATACAACTGGCCTCACATACTTTAGTAAAAAATTTATTGATTATTTAAGCCACTGTGCCTATTATTTGGAACGATTTATTAAAAATAAGCACACAAAAAATGGCAAGTTCGTTGATCAGTTACTTTCTAAGCTACAAAGATCCTTGCAACCTGCTGATCTTTTACAAAATACTTTGCCCATTCTCGATTGTGATTTGTCAGTAGTATATATTAAAAGATTATTCATGTCAATACTAAACATGGGGCTTCCTACTTTAGTGTTTCCACGGCGTAAAGCGATGTTTTCCAGGAACAACATAGCAAACAAAGCAATCCAGTTTACAATGCGATGAGTTCTGGTTCCTGCAAACCAGCTTGCAACCGGATTTTCCGGTTACGTGAAAATCCTTTTTACCATGGTAGAGCACAATAGCCATATGTCTGTGATTCGTGATCCATTTTGTTCAGTTTTAAGCGTCAAATTCACCTTTGGTCACCATATCATAATCCTTTTTACGTTCTCTTCTTGATACGAGCAGTTTGACGATCATAAGAAGCAGAATTAACAAACACATGCATACGATCAAGTACAGAGTTCGCATCGAAATCTCACTAAAACGTGGAAAATACGGCGAGGCTTTGGGAGGTTCGAAAAACGAAACTTCCTCCGGCGTGTTTCCGCCATCCACAACGAAAATCTCCGAACCGTCACGCGCCTTATCCGTGCTGTTTGAGCGATTTCCGTTTTTAATGATTTCAACAGACAACATTAACAAAGCAGGTCGAGATCTGAAACGAGAGGAGTTCACCTTTGACGCACCATCTTCCACCATCGTGCCATTTTCAACTTTTGCGGCGAGGCTCTTATTTCCCGTAACAGTCACTTCAGGTAATTTTTCCAGGCCGTAGATAGCATTGCAGAGAGATATCAGAAAGACGATAAAGACGAAACGCTCCATTTTAACAACCCCGAGAGTTTCCAACCACTGAATGAACTTCAACAAAATGAGGTGATTAAATATTGATGTGAAACGACTCCTAAAACTCGAGATCCAACAGGTAGCACACAAGTTTACAGCGGGTAAATTAACAGTTAATTAAACTTAAGAAACAATAGCAATTGTGTTTTTCTAATCAGGTTGCATTTCGCGTTTCTGATCAGGTCTTCTTCAATTTTTACGGCTCGAATAACGCGCCTTCGTTTTAGATCAACCGCGCGCACGTCATGGCTGATTTCTCCTGTTAAAAGACTCATATTGTAAAGGTCGGCATACGCCAGGGGAGTATGTTGCGGGAATGCGAAGAGGGGAGAAGCACTCTCGTATGTGCGCATAAGAAGTTGCAGGGTCAGTACGTAATCCTGTGCATACGAAGTGGTTATTGGTTCATTTCCATGTAGTAGTGGGCACAGTTTGCGGAGCAGTGCATTACATGCGACATTGAAAATTGAGTTCATTTTGTTCCTACTTCATGACGTACGAATTCAAACCAGCTGAAGGTTATGCAACATATTGCGGGGACAAAATATTTTGTCCTCACAACAGAACTTTTCCGCGAAAATGAGTACGTTACACGAGGGAAAAAAAAAAAAAAAAAAAAACTTCAATGCATCTTCAAATTCATCTCAGTCTCGTGTGTATTGTAATTTGCTTTATGAGTGTAGACCCTTAAAAAATGTGTCTGATTTGCTAACTATTATGAACCATGTACGAGGACTGCACCGAAGTAGGTTTGTCCCAATGGACAGTGCGGATCGTACGAAGGGGCAGGGGGTGGGGGATGGGGGAAGGAGGTTGGGTTTACAAACTGCCTGGTTTTCTCGTGAGTAGGCCTGGTTGATAAAATATAATAAATAAATAAATTAGAATATTTAGAGAGGAGGCCACACCAGCCTTAGATGGTGTTCATGCAAGTCCTCTATCCTGGTCGAATTTGACTTTGGAGATGTTGGTTTTGGTGGAGAGAGGAAAATCGGAGAACCTGGAGAAAAACCCTCGGAGCAAGGCGAGAACCAACAACAAACTCAACCCACATATGGCACTAGGCCGGGCCACATTGGTGGTAGGCGAGCGCTCTCACCACTGCGCCATCCCTGCTCTCCAATGTTATATGCATATTTGTTACTCGACCTTCTGATTGAAAGAAAATAGCTGTAGACATAAACAACTCAAGCTACAAGAAGAAAAAGGACAAGAAAGGGTTTCAAATTGACAACGAGTAGAACACTTAAGCCCTAGGCTTATCATGTACAACTCTTTTTCGGGGTTATGGGTGGGCTCAAATACAGTAGAACACAGCAGAGTCACTACTAAAGTATATTATTCCTAAAACTCCACATGTGATTTAATTCTTAAATCTGGACAATCCCTAATGCCTTCTGTTTGATGTTTAGAAATCTGGAAGCTAGAGGAACTAATTCCGTTAAATAGACCTATATGACATTGAAAAACCTCTACTCTATATGTTTCTGCTATAGTATTGAGTTCGTTAGTCAGTAGATTTCACGCTTCATCACCGTTATACAAGGCAAGGCTGTAGCCAGAAGATAATTATGACTGAGGCAATGTCCATTTTAAAATTCCCTTGATAGCTATACAGGCTGTTTGTGATGACTATAAACAACAAAAAGAAAATAAAAATGAATGAGGCAAGTGCCTCGGTTTGCCTGTTGCTAGCTATGGCCTTGCAAGGAAAATACAGAAAAGACTATAAAACAATCAATAAATCAAGACTAACCATGCTAAATAAGCGCTAAATAACATCTACAAAAAACTGCCCGTAAACGTACTTTATGCTACAATCTCTGTTAATTGATAATGCAAAGAATTAGATGGAAACTGTCAACAGTTTATCCCTTAACACACGGGTTTTCTTTGTTTCATTTTAGTGTGTTTCTTTTCCCACTGCTCTTTTTTTTACCACAATTAATAAAACACTTTAAGACTCGTTTACTGCTACGAGCTCTTTCGTTGGTTGGTCTTGAGAGGAAGAAGTCTCCTATAGGAAAGAGATTTTATATCTAGGAAAGAGATCCCAAAAAGTAGTT